TACCTGTAGACCAGACAAAATTTGGTAGACTGTAATAAGAGTAATACATTGGTTCTCCTCTTCCAGCTCTGCACACATATCCTGCTGTGTACATCTGTCTATAAACAGTGTAAGTACTCTGCACAGTCCCATTGGTGCCACCAGGCAGCAGCTCAAAGTTATAGGTGTTTCTAATAGGTTTGGGAACAGCTTGATACCAGAAGAAGCTCCATCCTGCAGACRGAGGTTTAACCTCACAGCTCAGAGTCACTGAGGCTCCAGGACTCAGCCATGATGGAGACACAGAGAGGACAGCCTCGGGTTTATCTGCTGGGAGGAAAAACACGTTAGAATAATAATAATGCATTTACCAATTACTAAAACATTTAGATTTAGTAATGYTTTGACTCACTGTCTGATACAGTTATGTTGAACGCCTCACTCCACTTGGTTAAATCCTGATGCTCCCCTTTGTTTCGGCCCCTGCATGCATAGTTTCCAGTATGAGAAGGAGAAGCAGAGTCAACTCTGAGTTTCTGCTGGTTTGAAGGCTTGTATGAGCTGGTTGTTCGCCATTCATACTCCCATTCTATGTCTCCACCTTGAATCTCACATGTAAGAGTAAATTTCTCTCCCGGGTACACCGTGGACCAATCAGATTTCAGGGTCACAGTCACGCTGTTTGGGACTATTCATATAAAGTAAAAAATCAATCAATCATTAATAAGACAAAAGTTTAAATCAAATGTCACTACATACATATGAAACATTATGTTACAAATTCAAACTCACCACTTTCTCCAATGGTAACTGACTGGCTGAAATCTGTGTAATAAACTGGATCTCCTCTTCCTCCTCTGCACCAATAACGCCCTTTCTGCGAAACACTAGTTTGTCCATTTCTATGTTGAACAGCAGTTTGAACTGGTAGAAACTCAGAGGCCTTGTCATTCTTGTACCAATAGTATTTCCAGCTAGTTGATGATGTTTTAATTGAACAGGTCAGGGTCCACGTGCTCTCCAACAGATACAGTTCAGCACTCAGTTGAGCCTTTGGTTTATCTGTAGTTTAAAACATGGTTTAGAAGTTATTGACAATTCATACGACATGAATTCAAAAATTCTGAACAAAAAAATGAACAGTTCTGGTGAGAACTTTTCCCCCACAAAGCCTCATATCAGCAAATTATTTGTCTAAGTTTTTGGATAAAGAAAGAAGAGAAAAGAGATAGAGAGAAGCAGAGAGACAACTGTGGACAGTCAGTTGGTCCCATCTTTTTAAAAACAGAACCAGATATGTAGGCTCTAACTATTGGGGAGGTCTTTGGTGATGGAGTTGCGACCCCTGGAGTGGTCATGGAGTCATGTCGGGTGTGAAATTTTGGGGTGTTCTATTTTGTTGATAATTTACATCTTTTTTCCAAAATTATGTGTTTTAACAAACATTACCATGTAGCAAATTGATAAATGGAGGCATAAAATAATGTATTTCAGTCAAAAATGCACACATTCAGTGAGAACACCAGCTGAGTTCTGCTTCACTCACAGCCTGACCATCCATTCCTCCTGCACACAAAAACAAGGACCCGCCCCCTATCCATACTTTGCACTGTCAGGTTTAGAGAGAGACCTGTACTGTCATCGTACATGAGCAGAATGAAATTACAGTTCAGAACACCCATGCAGAAGAAGACAGAACAAACATGGGAGAACAGGTGCCCTGGGTCATGCAGCCAC